GGTCACAAATCCTCCTCTATAAATATGATGATATTGGATAGAGGAGGGGATCCAATTTTTCTCTCACTAAAGTTCACTCTTGAGATAGAGTAAGAAATATAATTCGGACTGAGGAGATTTACCCGGTCTAGGTCATACTTTGTGTTCTTGTTGTGTGTTTTATATTACGGGTCGAGTGTGTCCAGGTCAAACCCGGTTAACCCACCCAACTATATTTACACCATCAATCTTCATAAACTACCAATTTAATAGATTCTATTTAAGGTATCACAATTAACTCTCATGTATTGGAATTAATGCGGCATACTAATTCATCATAAAATATTATTAATAGTATGAAATTAATAATAAATAAATATCATTAAATGGTAGATTGTGCTTATTATTATTTTTATACATGGTGAAATTTAATTAAAATGAGACATAATTATATCGTTCCATTTCTAAAATTAATAAATAAAATAATAAATATAATTAAAAAATAAATAAGTATAATTAAAAGGGACTTTGACCATGTGTAATTATTTATGTCCCCATTATAGTTTATCATGAGTATAATTTGTAACATAAATTATGTTCATGAATATAGTATACTATATATAAATGTAAGAATCCTTTAATATAATATTTGAGAGTTGATAGGAATTTTGACACGTGACAAATTTAGACTCTTAATTTGATGACACTGTCAGGCTCCTTACACGTGTCCACTTATACTTAAAAATCGGAGAAAGCCTCCAGACTATTCTTCTCCTCTCTAAACGCATCTCCTCTCTAAAAATCGCAGAAAGCCTTCGCTGATTCTTCTGCCAATAATCCGCCGACGGTAGATCTCCGCCTAAGGAAAGGAAATCTGCACCACGGGGTCATGCCGCTAATTCTTCGCTGATTCTTTCAAATTCTTATTCAAATTTCGTATATACTTCCGAATCTAGGCTCTGGAATTCCCCAATTTTTCCGCTAAAATTGTCTATTACGAATCGTGACTTTATTTAGTGCGGGATTACATACCTAATTTAGAATCGTATTATGTGTAATTACATTGGAGAAATCTAAAGTTACTTTTTCTAAGAGTGATATTCTACATATATATACATTCTCCTCAAGAACAACCCACCACACCCCTTAGGCATATTTTTTTTCGAGATTCGTACTTCTTTTTTGGGCCATACATGTAGAAGACCACCCATCCATTGTCTAAAGTAAAATTTGCACTAAATACGACTAAAACATAATGCCTTTCTCAATGTAGGACTTAAACTTTTTTATTCCCTAAATATGACTTAATAATGACCTAGTGGGAAGAATAATGTCTAGTAATGATGAACATTTACTTGAATAATGACTACATGATAATGACCAAAAGTCCTACATTGGGAAATAAAAACATATGGTCCTATATTGGGAAAGTCATTATGTTTTAGTCCTATTTAGGTAAATTTCTCTTGTCTAAAATCACTCCAACGAGTAAGTGTTCATACATGTTTGTAGATTTTTTCGTGTTTAACCTACATCACTAATTCAAATTATCGCTATTTAAATCGTGACGGATTCCTATTATACCTCCATGTTTATATATGTGCTAACTCAACCGTAGTTGTGCCCCAATCATAATGTTTAAATGTATCGTGTTTATGAGATTAGAGCAGATTTTTGGAATCTTTTTCATGTGTTTGTTTATGCTTTTCATTGAGGATTAAAAGTACATGTAAATGTTTAAATGTATCGTGTAATGTTTTGTTTTTCATAGAGGATTAGAAGTTTAATGTAATTTTTTTCATTGAGGATTAAAGCAGATTTTTGGAATCTTTTTCATGTGTTTCTTTATGTATCATGTTTTCATGCGTTTGTTTCTGTTTTTGGTATTTGTAAAACATGTGTGTTGAAAGACTTATTTCACTTTGGTGTCTGATGGGGTAAAGAAAATGGCTATTTAATATCCTGGCATATGTACAAATGTTTAAGTCTTCAAAACAACATTATTGCGAGTTTGACTCAATCCTAATCAACATTTTGTGCATTTCATTTATAATCTCCACAATCTCCATTGTCTTATTTGAAACGCCCACTGTCTGCACTCTCTGTTTAAGTGAACCTCAAGGTTAAATAATTCCTTTTTTTTTGCACAGTGCACTTTATGTTCAACTAAATGCTATAAGAGTTAAATGAGTTTAATGTTTTTTTTGCACTATCTGCACAATATGTTATAATGAGAAAATATAACATTGCTCAATATAACATTGGTAGATAAATCATTTCTTTTCAAAGCTCAGGTCAAACGTGCACACTTCAATGAGTTTGATCCTTCATATAATGTGATTGTGATAGAATTTGGGATAGGTATGGACAACTGGATTGGGCTATAAGACACTTGGGCTGAACCACATTAAAAGATTGAATCCAATCAATTAGTTAGTTCGACTCAAGAGCTTATATACCGATTAATTTCCTCACACTTTTCTGATGTGGGATGCTCTTTAACACTTCCCCTCAAGTGGACAACCGGGCCATTTTGAATCTAATCGGTTGACCACTTGCAAATGAACTCCCATTCTCTTGACTTTCTTCTTTTTTTGAGCGCCAACACCTAAATGACCACGAGCCGCTGGGTATGGACTTCTAGACGAGCAATCGTGTTAAACGGGCCACAGACCGTTGAGTACATACTCCATACGGACAACTGGGCTAAAGACTAACGGGCCGCTAGGAATGAACGTCTAGACGGACACCTTGACAAATGAGGTGGGCCAAAACCTGCTCCGATACCATGATAGAATTTGGGATGAGTATGGACAACTGGATTGGGCTATAAGACACTTGGGCTGAACCACATTAAAAGATTGAATCCAATCGATTAGTTAGTTCGACTCAAGAGCTTATATACCGATTAATTTCCTCACACTTTTCTGATGTGGGATGCTCTTTAACAGATTGACATTTGTTTTGATGAAAAAACCATCAAGATTCTGTGGGAAGGAATTCCACTTTTTTCTCAGTCCAGGTTTGATTAACATAATGGAATATATATTTGGCATTAGTGATACTTTTATTATGTGTAATAACACATGGAT